TATCACTTATTTTATTTGGATATGTTAACTGGTTTGTAGTGATTATTTCACAATGTATATAAAAATCAAAACATCAAGGTGTATACATTTTTATGCATTTTTGTCAATATGTATAGCATTATATATACAGGTATTTTATATATACACACAGAGACAATAAGAGAATGATAAGTAATAAATGTGGCAAAATTTAAGAACTGGTGAATGTAGGTGAAGGGTATGTGGGATTCTTTGACCACTCTTGCAGATTTTCTATAATTTTTAAATTACGTAAGAATAAAATTATGTTAAAAAGTATTTTTAATGGATGAAGGACATAGTTAGAAGGTTTTTATGAAGAAACTAGAAGCCCGGTGCATGAAACTCATGCACGGGGATGTGTGTGTCCCACAGCCCAACTTGCACCTTCTTTCATCTGGGACCACTCAAGGGATGTCCGACTGCCCATTTAGGCCCAAGTGGGATCGGGCCTGAATGGGCAGTCAGACATCCCTCTCACAATCCAGGACTGCTGGCTCCCAACCACTTGCCTGCCTGCCTGACTGATTGCTCCAACCTCTTCTACCTACCAGCCTGATCACCCACTAACAACTCCCCTGCCAAAATGATTGACACCCAACTGCTCCCCTGCCAGTCTGATTGCCCCTATCCTCTCCTACTGACATGGTCATCCCCAACTGCTCTCCCCTGAAGGTCTGGTTACCCCTAACTGCCCTCCCCTGCTGGTCCAGTAACCCCTAACTGCCCCCCTTTGCTAGCCTGGTCACCCCTAACTGACCTCCCCTACCAGCCTTGTTCCCCCCCAACTGCCCTCTCTTGCAGGCCTTGTCCCTCCCAACTGTCCTCCCCTGCAAGCCTGGTCCCCCTCAACTGCCCTCCTCTGCCAGCCCGGTCACCCCTAACTGTCCTCCCCTACAGGCCTGATCACCCTCACTTGCCCTCCCTGCAAGCCTGTTCCCTCCCAACTGCCCTCCACTGCTGGTCTGATCACCCACAACTGCCCTCCCCTGCTGGCCATCTTGTGGCGCCCATCTTGTGTCCATCTGGGGGCAGCCATCTTGTGTATTAGAGTGACAGTCAATTTGCATATTACCCTTTTATTAGATCAAATTACACCAGAAATGCTGGTAGAACATTCAGAGAAGTAGAAAAATTATGCCAAGCAAGAAATATTCAAGCCAATTTAAAATGTAAATGAAAATGAGGAAGTGAAGACCATAAAGATAATTTTGGATTTGGCCAATCTATAGAGAGAAGCAGCTAAATGCAAGAATAGAAGCCAGAGTTAAGGTGCTTAGTGAGGCAGTTAAAAGCTAGACAGATTATTAGCATCCTTATAGGTAAAACTCTTTCAGTTACTAGAAAGGCTACAATATAAGACCTTCCTAACTTAAGTGCTCATTTTCTTTCTTATATATATAAAGTGGCTCTATCAACTATTTCACCTTGTCAGTCTTCCATGTTGTTAAAGTTGTAAATAAAAGAGTAATAAGGTCTACATTTTTACATTACATGATTATTTATGCAATGTTAATTCATGTTTATTTCCTGATAATGGCAACAACTGAAATTCAACATAGGCTTTTGTTGCATGTGTAACTATGTAAAGATAGTTGATTTTTATGGAAACATTAAAACTACAAGGAGTTAGTTGTTAAGGTTTTTTCTTAAGCATCTAAATATTTAATCCAGAGTTTTCTATTTGACTATTATTTAGTTAAAATTCTATTTTAACAAATACAATAATAAAGTTTAATTCTTTCTAGGAACCTAAAATGACCTACTTATAGTATGTATGGCTTCATTGTTTAACTCTCTTTTTCATAGGATTGCTATTTATAACCACTTCCCTCAACCCTGGGGAAACTAAATAGGATTAATGACTTCTGATTCACTTTGTTTTTGAAGTGTTTTTTTTTTCCTTTCCATCTTTGCTCAGTTAGTGGAATCCATGATGAATTCTCATCTCCAAGGGGTAAGCTGTCTTTAGTAAAGTCCAGTAGCTGGCTTATGATTCCTTAGATTGATTCCTTTCTTCTCTTGTGTTTGCTTCTTCCAGAATGATAGAATCCATTTAGACATGCTCAATTTTCATGCTTAGATGCAGTTAAGCATGTGATGCTTTTAGTTTTGTTAACTTAAATTATATATTTAATGAATATATGGGCTCATATCATAAAAATAAATCAATATGATTAGCATTCTACTTGTTTAGCATTATAAATAGAGGTAACTAAAGCTAAACAATAGAAGAGCACTAGAGGTCATATGATGATGAAGATGGGAGATGAAACATTGGTTTTGAAACAGTAACCTGGATTGGAGACAGAGAACAGAATTTCATAGATGGATATTTGGGAGGTAGGTAGTTTGAATAATCTTTATATCTAAAGTACGCCTTCATCTGTGGGTGGCTCAATGAATAGAGATGAAAATCACTGTATTTGATAAATTATGGGATTATACAACTGTCAGGTAAAAAAAAAGTAATAGCAAATAAATAGAATGCACTAAAAAAGAAAACTAAATAAAAAGAAAATGTTTCCTCTCAATGAATGGATCTGTTCTGTTCATTAGCATGAAGGTCTTTCAGGCATTTTTTAAATAATACCTTAATGAAAACAATACTTGACTGTATGCCATATTAAAATCCTTCCCTTTGTTTCTGGGTGAGAAAATCAGAGGAGAAAATTCCCAATCTGCTCTACTGAGAAACCACTGTTTAATGAGTGTATGTTAATGTGTTATAAATTCTTTAGCAATATACAATATGTTTATTATTGTACCACTTCCTTTTTTAAATGGATGTTTGTATGTGTTGACCAAAGAGCAGTATAAAGAGTTATGATTTCATTTTTAAATACTTTAGAAAAGCATAGTTTTATTGCAGTTGTGATTCTCAGATTTTTAAGGAGGCTGCTTCAAAGGATGTCATTAATAATCTTCTCAGGTGCTAACAATGCATGTGTCTGTCAGCAGAATTAGAGAATCACCTAGAGAACAGGTTTCACAATACTTTGAAACATACTTTGTTCATTAGAGAGGAAAATGACTTGTTTTAAGTCTAAATTGACATGCTTGCTAATTCAGCAGTAAAAGCTATTCACTGTGGTCAGGTTTAATATTTAGAGCCTGGTAAGGTTAAGATTAAAGTTGATAAGTTACTTCTACAACATACTCCTTAAACAAACTCAGTCACCTAAAAGAAGAAACAAGTATTATATATAGCCCACATGTATCCATAAGTGTGAAGCAAAGAATAGCCTGATTGTCTCAGAGTGAATTAATATTAAATAAAAAATAACAAAGATAATCTTTATCATACAAAAATTTCCAGGTATCAAAAACATAAATTTTCATTTAAATTACACAAAGTGTACATAAGAATTTTGGTCATTACTATGCCCGTAACACCTAGAAGAGTGCCTAGCACTTGACATTTATAAAATGAAAGGATGAGTTAATAAATGAATGAATTTATATTTTTTGCTAGCTATGGGTATTTAGAGTTCTTTGTTAAATTTGAAGGGAAGATTTGACTTTATATGAGGTTTCTACATGCATCTTTTTTAAAATCTATCTAATGTATTAAACATTTAAGAGTTGGGAATTCCAAAGTACCTTTGCAGCTTGCTGTCACAGATTACCAGAGTTTAATATTCTAACCCTGGAAAACATCTAATTTCATAAAATCTATCTACTACTCTATGGATCCCTCTTAAAATCGTTCAGTACTCTCCAACTGACTTATGCCACTTACTTCAATAGCTATATTTGGCAATTTGTTCCATAATTCAAACACCCTTTTGTGTGAAGAAAACATAAAAGTTAGAAACCTGAAAATTGGATTTTTCTTCCGAGCAATCGCAGCTTACTAATGTGGAAAATTTGTTAAAAGTTAGCCCCCTCCAATTTTTCAATACAGAGAGGGGGAAATGCTCAAAATAGATGTGTGATGTTTTGATAAGTTCTTCCCATTGATTTTAATACTACTAAAAGCAATCGAGCTTAAACCATAAACCCATCTTTCTATCTCTTCATCAAAGAAATACTACAGAACGATCAATATTTGGCCTTTCTGAACACTAAAATCCTTAGACCATCAGCAGCAGTCAAAGAATATAGTAGATAATTTAGTTCACAAACATTACTATGCATCGCATTTTATCTTTTCACTTTCATCAACCTCACATGGTGGTAGGAAGAGTAATGAGTTTAAAACCATAAATAATTCTGGCTTGGTTATTAATGTAATTATTAAGAAAATAAAAGTGAGAAAATGTATGCAAAACATCTGTCACATAGTGGTTACAAGCTAACAGCAAATAGTCATTATACTTCCAAAATAACATATATGAAGTTTTAGAACAAGGGCTATATCTTTTGTCCCCAAACTTCTTTGTAAATATCATTGGGTTTTGGGTCCTTTATGTAAAGAGAGTAAGATAACAGAGGTAATAGATGGAAACTTTGAGAAAGATGTAGTTCACCTATATCATGTCATTTTATAGGTGAATAAACTCAAGTAAAAAGATATTAAATAAGTTATATCTTTTAAATCACTTCTGTGCTTTGTTCTGTTTCTCACATATACACCTTAATTTTTACACTGTGCAGAATTAAACTGCAAGTATAAATAACTATCTTTCTCTCAAATACATTGTCATAATTCAAAATTACATTTTTACTCATGGCACTCATATATTGGATTGAGTAAAACTAGGTACTCTGGAATGACTGTCTAAGCTCTTAAGGAGTGAACTAAATCTATAATCAAGATTTCATTTGAAATATATATTTTTTGTATCTAAGAATGTAATACATTTCTTGCTAAATTTTTCTCTATAAAGCCTTACATGTTAGGGATTTATATCTAGTAACATCTTTTTTTATTTCTAAAAGTGCTTTGGTTGATTTGAAAATCACACTTTACTTATATCACATCAAAGGAATGTACAAGGCTGTAGAACCTCAATATTAAGGTCTATTTGTTCCTTTAGGCCACGCTGCAGGATTTGGAACAGAGGCGCCCCCAGTTGGAAGAACTCATTACTGCTGCCCAGAATTTGAAAAACAAGACCAGCAATCAAGAGGCTAGAACAATCATTACTGATCGAAGTAAGTCTTTTAACAGACAGTGAAACTTAAGGAAAGATAATGTAAAAAGTTTCAATAATGTTTTAATTTCATGTGCCTTCATCACGTTTATAAAAAGAGTGCCAAAAGTTGTAAATTATAACTAGTATACTAAGATTTTCAGTCTATAGTGTTATCTTTCAGTAACAATATAATTTCATGGAATAGAGGACATATAAGCTTGGTCAATGCAGACTTACACAGTTGCAAAGTGTGGAGTGGTGGGAAAGCTGGTGTGACAGAACATTTGCTGCTCAGCCATCATCATAGATGATGTATCAGGGGTGGTGCCCATGGAGATGCCAATCTCTCCCTCACAGTATTGATTGTTGGTCCAAGTAGGCAGTTGCTTTCTGGACCATATTTTTTTCCCATCTGCAGTGGCCCTTTCAGATATGTAGGGCTCTTTGTGATTTTGATATACTCATTGTGCAATATAAGAAATCGCTGTGCTGCTCCTTATGGGGTGGGTGGCAACTTTGGGAAGCTGTTTAAGGCCCAAAACGACTCTGCATGTGATCAGGAAGAGGGTTTGAAAGAATAGTAGGGGTCTTAGAACAGGCCTAGACTTTTGAAACTCAAAAACCAAGAATCTGCTGCTCTGTAGTTTTATCATCTACATTCTGTTTTGTCAACATTTCCCTCAGGAAGCAGAAGCCAATGCCTAGCTACCTTCTAAGTAGCAGTCTGTATGTGGTGTGTGTGTGTGTGTGTGTGTGTGTGTGTGAGAGAGAGAGAGAGAGAGAGAGAGAGAGAGATCTTTGCAAAATCCTGTCAGCTAAATTTCATAATCCCCAATTTAGAGGTAGGAAAAAGTTTAAGAAAAGTTAATCAAATTGCTCAAGCTTACAAAATAAACAAATAATAGAGCTTAGAATTTGCAAATATCTCTTTGTGACTTGTAAATCTATGTTCCTCCTTGCCTACCACTTCCCATCTTGTTTTGTTGTTTTTCTCAATGACCTCAATCACTAGTACTAGGATTAAATACTCTTTCGATCTGCAATTATGTATGTTTTTATTCATTTCCTAAAGATATTTCCTCTTTCAGTGGCAGTGATTTTTAATTAAAATAGACATTTCTTGATTTTGACATTTTAATTAACTATAGTTGCTCAAACAGTGGATTTGGATATGTGCTAATGTATTAGTTTGGTAGTGCTAGCAACTGTAGCAGGTAAGCTCCTGTATCAATCCAAAGTAAGCAGCCTTCTATGAAATCTTTCAAGGACCCAAGCTCCCTCCAGCTTTTGCATCCAAAACATCAGAGTCCTGTTCATTTAATGGGCAGAGGAGGAATGGGTATTACAGTAATTTATTATAATCCAGGCTTGGAAGTACACAATAATTCTATTCATAGTGTATTCGCTGAACCTTGTTAAACAGCCATATCAAGGGAAGCAAGAAAAATTGTCCAATGTCAAACCCAAGAAGAACAACAACTAGTTTGGTAAGGAACTAGTCAGTCTCTTCCACAGCTAATTTGAACAGGAAGAATGCACTTAAGTTCTATAGTTCCATGTAAGTTACAGGGTAGAATTTCTATAACCAGCAAGATAAGAGAAAAATTATCTTTTGATGACCAACATAGATAGCTGTTCAATTGATGTAGAAGAATGTTCCTCCTTCAAACTGGAATCATGAAGCTTATCCACCAGCTTGCAACACACTGGTCCCAAAAAAGTATATCTTACTATGAGTCTGAATTCCTATTACAGTTACACAGTTAAGCGATCTTAACTGTGTAAGATCGCTTAACTGTGTATTTGACAAAGATCTCTACAAATTGAATCATCTATATCCATGGCCGGCAAACTGTGGCTTTCGAACCACACGTGGCTATTTGGCCTCTTGAGTGTGGCTCTTCCACAAAATACCATGGCCTGGATGAATCTATTTGGAATAAGTGGAGTTAGAAGAAGTTTAAGTTAAAAAAAAAAGTTGGCTCTCAAAAGAAATTTCAATTGCTGTATTATTGATATTTGGCTCTGTTGACTAATGAGTTTGCCAACCACTGATCTATTTGTATAAAACCCTAATTTGCAAATAGACTGAACAGCAGAACAGCCAAACAATGGCACCACCAAACAACTGTTTGCTATGATGTGTGCTGACCACCAGGGGGCATGCACAGAACATGGCAGGTGTTGGCAGCAGGCAGCAGGCGGCAGAGCATGGAATATGGCAGGTGTTGGCCATGGTGGGATGGTGGAGCAAGTGAGCAGGGGCGCCAGACTAAGGCAAGGTGCTGGTCACTGTCATTGGGGCAAGCCCCTGGTGGTTACTAAAAATTATTTGCTCATGCACACCGCAGTCCCACCTGGCACTCACACCTGCTGCCGACACCAGCCCGACTTGCCCTCACTGCTGGCACCAGAGCCGCCACTTGCACCCACTACAGGTGCCCAGGACTGGCCCTGATCTCTTGGTGCCATAAATGGGTGCAAGCAGTGGCTGCTGGCCCAATCACCCATCACGGCTTCTCTACCTGCTCCTGCTCCTAAGGGACAATCAGGTAGCAGCTGCGGCTCACACTGCTGATGGCACTGGCCCCGCTCGCACCTGCTGCTGGCACCAGCCCCAATTGTTCTATGCCCTCAGTGCGTTGGGGTGGCGGCAGGAGCAGGGCTGCCAGCAGACAGGGAACTAAGGGCTGCAGTAGGAGGTGCAGAGATGGTGGGCCAAGACTTGCCTCTGTGCCCACCACAGCCTCGTGGCCCACAGTTTCTTTCAAGGTGCACGAATCTGTGCACTGGGCCCCTAATATAAGTATATAGAAAGTCATTTGTTATTTTACCAATGAAAAACAACCACTTTTTCCCTAAGAAGAAAATAACACTAATTTATTTTGCAGTATCCATTCAACATTGTGTAAACATTTTTTTTTCTTTGCAATCTTTTTTTGATATTGTATTTAATTCTTTATTATGTGAATTAAAATTGAGTGACTATAGCCTAGGTTTGTATCTTTATGCTAATATCTAGTGATATGAATAGTTCTGCTTTTCTAAGCTTTTTGTCTTTTAGGAATGAATATCTTTATAAATATTTGCAGCACAGAGGGAAGATTCCAATACAAATGGTCCAAAGTGCATTTTTTAAAAAACAGTGTTTGCTGAGACATGTCATGTTGCTTATTAAGAGCCTAAGACAGAATCTTAATTCAAGATATGCCTGGAGCCTCTAGTGCTGGTACCAGGATAATTCTGACAAGATATGTTTATCTAAACAATGGCATTTGCAGCCCTGCTATGCTTTGGTTTATCTCTCCATTTGAAATCTATGAAATGGGATAGAAATTCAATACTCATAAAGTTTCAATCATGTTCAAAATATAATTTTAAATATAGATTTAGGTTTTGGGGAATGAGCAGAAATAAAATACTTGCTCATAAAATTGTATTTTCTTATTTGAAGATGTCAGTACTCCTTTTTTACTGCTCTGAAACTTTTAGAATACTTAAAAAGAAATCAGCTAAATAAAGAAAAGTATTCAATAAGTGTATAATATTATATTGCAACATTTTCCCCTCCTCGGTAAATTCCAGTTCATAACTTTGAACAGTTGGAAAAATCTATACATGGTTATTACATTCTGTCAAGATAAAAGTCTAGCAAAAAGTAATTCCTCTATACTAGTAATAGCTATGCTACTATCTCAAGTAATGGGTCTATGAAATGGCAACACACTTAACTGTACAAACTATTTCCATGGTATCTGTTGTTTTTAGGTGATTATGTTGATGGAAATAATGTAATAATCTCAATGAGAAAGTAAGTTTCATTTTAAATGCATTCAAATGAGAAGTTCTCCATGTTGTTTCTGATGTTCAGACAGCTCATTTTCCTTCAATTCTTTGCTTGCTTAAATATGCCAACCATTCCTGGTTTTGGTTCCCCTATTAGAGAGTTGCTTATTTTAGAATAAATGGAGTCAACCACTTATAAATTTCCTTCTTTTGACAACTAGTACTTACTGTCAACCTGTTATAAATATAAGCAGCTCTCAAATTTTACATCTACCAGAATGCAGCTGGCAACCAAAGAATTCAGTTCAGTAAATAGTTTAATGTTTACTCTGTGCTAGTTAATATCAGAGGTGATGGAGGGAATATCAGTAAGAATAAGATTCAGTTTTTGCCATAAAACTAAAAATAAAATATTTTTAAACAAGTATATTCAAGCAAAGTAGTCTAGGATAGGTACTTTAGTAGATCAGTATAACAAAAAGTTGAGAGCAAGAGGAAGAGAGATTGACTCTGAAAGAGGGGGTCCTAGAATGCTTCCAGGAGTTGTTTAAATTTAATATGGTCATAAATAAGGTTTTAAAAAGCAGAAAGAGGCTGGATAAGGAAGGATATTTCAGAAAAGGATGGCAGGAAGATACATAATTAGATTTAGGTTAGTATTGATATGATGGATATATTTGTAGGAGAGGGAGAGATGAGAGAGAGAGAGAGAGAGAGAGAGACGGACAGACACGGGGGAGGGGATTTTGGTTTTGGGGACATGGAATAAATGGGGTCAGTGAGACCATTTAAGAGGCAAGGAAGCTAAGCTAGAACAATAGCAGTGGAAAGAGAAGAAAGAACTAAATTAAGTATGTGTTGGAGTTAGCATTAACATGATTTGGACATTGACTGGAAGTATGGAATTGAAGATCAAAGAGAGAGCTTACCTCTGAAGATTTTGACATTCAGTGATTTTGGAGATAGTGATATCATAACCAGAGACAAATTCAGTACAAGGAGTTGATTATGCATGATTAAATGTGCTTAAGGTACAGCCAGTGACCATAATGAGAATTGGTTGAAAACACAAGTAAAATTTCTGGAGTAAAGTTACCTCCACACAAATTGGGAAGCTACCTAGAGTGGATGAGTTTGCACAGACAGGGTACCAATTGAAAAGAAAAATAGACATAAAGACGCAACTGGAATGTGGCTTACATTTAAGAAACATAAGAAAAGTTAGCACTACTC